TGAAACTGAGTCCCCTAGGAGGCTGTGGTGTAGAGAGCAAGGCTGGGAAGTTCTGCTGATGGTCACTGAGATCTACGCCTCTCTGGTTCGGTCCTCTGAGGCATGGTGCTGTCCTAGTTTGATTTCTGTTGTTGTGATTAAATACCACGATCAAAAAAAAGGTTTTATTTCATCTCACAACTCCAGGCACCGTGCATCATTGGAGTCACAGCGGTAGAAGCTGGAGGCAGCTGCTCACATCACACTCGCAGGCAGGAGCAGAGAGAAGCCAATGCTCCCTGGCTGCCTGGCTTGTGCTTAACTCCTATTCCTGCTTTTACAGTTTAGGAACCTTGCCTAGGAAATGGCATCACCCACGCTGAACTGGGTCTTACACATCAGTTCTCTTAACTAAGACAGTCTCTGCCCAGACATGCCCACGATGTAGACCATCACTCATTAAGACTCTCTTCCTAGACAATTCTACATGTGTCAAGTTGACAATTAAAACACACCATCACAGAGCCTATTGGATCAGCACTTTCTATCTGTCTTCTGACATATCTTGTCTGCTCTATCATAATGTTAAGATCATGGTAAGAAGGTGGCTCAGGATTGACCTTTTCAGTCAGGATCCTTATCTCTACAAGAAGGATAAATAACACCACAGGGTTGCTGTGAGATTCAGGAGAGCAGGGTCAGGTCTTAGCAGAGCCCAGTTCACACGGCAGGTGCTAAATAAATGCAACCTATTTCCATCATTTCCAAGTTTACTGTTCATAAAACACTTTTTCATTCATTCCTTGAACTCCTTACTATACACTGAATTTCAAATTTAATTTTCAGGCGTGTACAGTAAAAAGCCGCAGAGAATTTCCTTGCCAAGAGAAAAGTAAGGCTCTTTCTTTTACTGAAATAACAGCCCCATTCCCTAATAGAGAAGTGTCCCCCTTCTGTGGGCTCAAAAGCCATATCCAGTCATCTCTTTCCTTTAAATTATAAATGGCATTGAGTCCACAAGATTACATCACGAAGTTGTCATGCTTGGATCAAACAGGCTCTTTTCTACAATTTCATCCATAGAAATTTGTTGTGGATTTAATAAATTTAAATTTTACAATAAATTATAAGAATTCATTTAGGCTAAGAACACATTAATTGAGTAGCCTCCTGTCTGGGCACAAAGCTCAACTCTGGGTGATTGAGAGGAATAGTACTTGCTCTCTGACCAGGAAGTCCTGCCTCTTCTGGAGGAGAGGGGAAGATGTAAAAACATTACCATTGAAATCTACCTGACGACTTTATATCCATCCTCAGATGCCAAGGAGCTCAGAAAGTAACCGACTGTGACTGGTAATAATCAGATATATAGAGGTTAGAAATGCATATG